GTATGTGGACTGCATCATACTTTTAGAAAGTATAGTTGATCTCACAAATATGAGTTCATTTAATTCATGATGGTCACATAGATATTTAGAGAATATTGGCATGCCCAGAGAAACCAAGTTATATTCATGTGTCTATGGGATTATCGGTAGGGGTGGGCAAACGGGTACTGGAACCGCGGGTCGGGGCGGGTAATACGGGTTCGGGGCGAGTTAGGGTTGGGTCCTAATTTTTGAAAACTCAAACGGTTCGGGGCGGGGTGGGGCGGGTCCTGAAAAACTTAGGAACCGAACAGGTCATTAAATTTGAAAAAACGGGTACCCGGAGGAGTCCCGGACCGATTCGATTTATAATATTATTTTAATGATCTCTATTATATTTAATATTAGTATAATACCGTATAATATACTAACAAGACATGAAAGCTCTTCATGTTCTTGTGTCTGGACAAAAACTTCCAATTAAAGAAACTTCTTACTCTACTAAAAATAATTTCCAAGTACGTATAATTAAACTTCTAAATTATTTTCCTCTATTCTTTATTCCAAATGCATCAAACTTTCTTTCTTTAATATTTTTGTAAACAAAGACTCTTACTCAATGATGTGTGACATATTCATTTAATTATCTTAATTTTACTTATACTTGGAGATTTAATAAGCTTTAAATTATTTTCATAGACAAATATGTATAGTAACTAGTTTAATTTCTTATGAATTTATGGTGCTATCTTTTTAATTAGTTTATGAATGATGAATAACATTTTGATTAAGGTGGTTGTGTCATGTGTGTTGTTTAATTTATAGAATTGTGGTTCGATATTTTGTTAACTAATTTTAAATTTTGTCTTATACTTATATTTTGAATTTTTATTATATTTTGGTTACATTAATAGGTAATTAATTTCAGAATTTTATAACTTACTAGAAACTTTTCTTGCATAGCCTTATTTGTTTACAAAAGAAGAATCGAGGACTCGGACCGAACCGGCCTGTTTCAAACGGGGCAGGTAAGGTTCGGTTCCTATTTCGAAACTTGGTATACTTGGACCGAACGTACCCGTTAAATGGAACCGGTGGTTCTTGAAAATTTATCAATTACCCGGACCGACCCAGACCGTGCCCACCCCTAATTATCGGCGTATAGAGTAGTGTAATAGTCCTACGACTTGAGGTCAATACGTACTACATGTGCGGAGTGATGTACTTTGATCATGACCAACGCTTGCACTCTAATCAGGGTAGACACGACATGTGTTGGGTACATCATGAAGCACATGGAGCAGTGGTTGAGCCACGAAAGGATTCATTCCTCATAATAGATTAAGAGAGAACATTCCACTTTTCATATTTAGATGGATCATAAAGTCATTGTCCAATGCAAAGATATATTCATTTTGGATATCGAATATGATCGTTATGGATCATATAGAAAGATTGAGAGAGAGAGACTAAGTTATTGGATAGACACAATATCATGTTCTAGACTTAGTTGAATGTTCATTGAATGAAAGAATTGTATCACTATGAGCTCTATATTACCGGGAGTTTGAATAGTCCTCGCAAACGTCCTTATATATTAAGATTGTCTGGTAAATCGTTTAGGGTTCTATTAAGATCTTAATTTGATTAGCGCTTAGTATATAAGGCTTTATGGGTCACACAACAAATGATTATACCTTCTGATTGAATTGTTAGAAGGAATTAAATATTAATTAGATTAAGTAATATTTAATTCATAATACTATAAACGCTATCATGACGTAATATTCTCAAAAAAAATCAATTTTAAAAAACCTTTGAATATTATTTTTCTAAACATACAATTGACAGATTTTAAAGACTTTTTATATAGTACAAACACTAAATGTATGAACTTGTGCTTACCAAGTATCCCTACAAAAATGTTTGACATTTTTTAATATCAACATGTAAATATTCTACTCCCTACGTAGTTCGTATTAGTTGATATGTCACATTTGCTTTTTCACGTATTTTAAGATAATTATTGTAGACTTTTTTGAAAAGTAAAAATTTTTTGATACTATAGCGTAACAATACTAAACCTCAAATATTGTAGCAGCTTTTTGAGTGAGTTTCTTTTTCAAAAAGGAAAATGAAACAATTAATTTGATAAGTTCCAAAACAATTAAGAATTAGAGCCTGTTTGGTGACGCATTTTTTCGGCTTATCAGGCTTATCAATCAGCTTTTTCACCAAACACGTAACTTTTGATTTTGCGCGCTGAAGTTTGTAATAAGCAGAAAAAGTAATGTTGAAATTACTTTTCTGGTTGTATTGGCTGAAATTACCATAGATGAATACTTTAGCTATGTTTTCATATAATTTTTTATTTAACTTATTAATGACAAATATTTTAAATATAATTTTTTTCATGAATCGGCAGAATCAGTCAATACAACCACTTCAACCAGAACTTCATAAATTTCAGCAGAATCATTCGATTCGGTCAATCAGCCAATTCAGCTCTTAAATAATGAAATTATGAAATTGAAAGTGAAAGTCAAACGACTGTGGAAGTACATGAATGTGTGAAGAGGAATACTCCAGAGAGAACAGCATCATTTCTGAGTTCGTACCACCATGTCTGCCGTGGGCAAGAGCGTGTGACAGGATGCCCAATAAGTTGTTTTCTCTTACGCACTAATCAACGTCTCTCTCTCTCTCTCCTTCCTCAAATGCTCAAAAGCTCCAAACCCGTCCCGAATCAGCTTCAATTGGACTAGGGTTTCGCTAACATCTCCTCTCCCATGAAACTAGGAACAGCTTAGTTCAAGTTGTGGCGTCAGCTAGGTAAACTGAAAATTTGACAAAGTGATGTTTCATCACTAGTTCCGTGTTCTTCTGTGGAATTCAATCAAATTTGTTCGAAACATTCATACCTGATTCTATATTACTGCCACGAAACGTGGGTCAATTTGTTATAGAAAAAGATGAGTTGGGTTCTTTATTTAGCTGGTGGTTGTTATTGAACAGACAAAGGTCAACTTGATCCAGAAATAGCTGGCCAAAGTTATGTTCATTTGGATTCCCAGATTTCTAAGATGCGTAGGCCTCAATATGAGTCCAACCCAAAAGATGTTCTTTTGAACCATTGTACAATCTGTAATACTCCCCAGAGAGATTCAACTCCCCGAAAACAACCACCTTCTTCTGGTACTAAAATCACCCCAGCTGTTCTTCTCATAATAGTGATACTATCTCTGATTTTCTTCATCTCTGGTCTTCTCCACTTGCTTGTTAGATTCCTCATGAAGAAACGCGGACAATCTCTCTCTTCCTCCCAATCCAGCAGAAGGACTCAAGAAATCCCAAACTCTGGGACTGTTGTTCAAAGACAGCTCCAGCAGCTGTTTCATCTTCATGACTCAGGTCTAGATCAAGCCTTCATTGATTCTCTCCCAGTTTTCACGTACAAAGATATAATGGGTCTGAAAGAGCCATTTGACTGTGCTGTTTGTCTCTGTGAGTTCTCAGATCAAGACCATCTCAGGCTGTTACCTCTGTGTAGCCATGCCTTCCATATGAATTGTATAGACACCTGGTTGCTGTCAAATTCAACTTGCCCACTTTGCAGAGGGGTCCTTTTCCCCCCTGATATTTGCATTGAGAACCCAATGTTCCGTTTTGATGATTCCAGAATTGATGAGGATGAGTTTGAGGAAGGGGTTTCAAGCTCTAGACCAGGTGAAGATGCATCATCCATTGTGAGTGAAAGGAGGGTATTTTCGGTGAGGCTTGGGAAGTTTAGGAGTGGAAACAACAATGGTGAAGGGCAAGAAGGAGAGACCAGCAGTAACTGTAATATGAGTGCAAGGAGGTGTTACTCAATGGGTTCTTTTCAGTATGTGGTGGTTGGTGATTCAGAGCTGCAAGTGGCACTTTCTCCAGCCAGTCGTGGTGGTAGAGGTGGGGAGGTGAGCAGTCTTAGAAGATGTGGCGGTCCTCAGATGGAGGGGCGGGGTTGGGCTTCATCGGATGGCTTTGAATCGTTCGGTCTTGAAGCTGGTAGTGGTGGCTGCCGGGGTGGTGGACAGATGAACAAGGTTTGGGGGTGGAGAGGTGGAGGGCTGAATGGGAATTTGAGCGGTGATGTGGATAGTAGTGATGGGAAGAGGATTATTGACATGAGGAGTAAAGGTGAGAGCTTTTCTATTTCAAAGATTTGGCTTTGGTCCAAGAAAGACAAACTTCTTACTTCTGCGCAACATACTCACTTTCCTTGTTCAGCAGCTCCTTCTTGTTAAATCTGCATTAAGAACAAACACAAAAAATACCTTTATTGCTTACACATTTTACTCTTCATCTTGGTGACGTGCTTGTAGTCCCACCTCAAATACGATTAGAATATAACAGAGATTATATTTTGACACTAGAGTTTTTACGGTATTTGTTATTACGAAAATCAGAAGGGATTTTAGGTTGTTTATGTACAACCCTCTCATCATTCATTCATTTTATCCCGTCATTAAACGAACGAGGGTATTGTATTCTTTAAACAAAGGCCAGATTAGGCAAACACGCACGTATTGAAAAATCTAAGGTATTACTGACGCTTTCTAAAAAACTCAGGCTTGCTGGATCAGTTTAAAAAACTCAGCCTCGCTGTGTGCTTACCAAGGCCGCGGCCTCAACAACCTTCATGGTATTTTGACATAGTCACTTAACAGTCGTGTGTACAAACACATTTTTGTATTTTATATTAGTAATTATGGAATAGTGACTACTTAATTAATAAGTAGGGTATAAATAGCTTCTGGGTCGGGTCAATTAGGGAAAAATGGGTTAGGTTTTAATTTTTAAATACTCTACTAGCCTACTCTATGCCCACCTTTCAAATAGTGGGCCGGGTCAAATCTTTTAGCAAATGGAGTGAGCAAAGCCACATGCTCATGAGTCATGAGCTAAATGATGGTATCAAGAGGAAGGATCACCCCTCCCACATAATTCAAGGTAATAATCATAGTTTTGACGTTACTACCCGTAGAGGTACATTTACTCATTCAAGAAATTAACAAATAATGGATTGACATCATACACCGTTTAAAATTAATAATACATACTAATACTCCGTTTTTATAACATCAGATCAGATATAATATAGTAGACTCATATGAATGGGACACCAATAATAATTGAATACATCCATATTTGTTTTGTTTTCCAAAATCTTTTTCCTAGGCTCATAATGCTATACATCATCGAAGAAGCAAATTCTTCTGTACATACGTGATTACTGCCCATAACCATAATCATAATGATAGTTATTAGGATAGCCGTGGGTCCCGTCAGCCTCCTGCACAGCGGCCCCAAATAAAACTTCATTTGTTCTTTCTGGGCTTTGCTCATACACAGTTTCTGGCCCCGTTGAAAGATAATTATGGTGATTCAAATGCTGCTGCCTCCTAGTCGGGAGGTAAAACTCAGAGGACTCCCTCGGTGAAATGTACAAGGCAGTCCTGCTTTGAAGCTTTTGCACCGTCTCCTCAGCCTCCTTTGTCATGAAAGCGTAGTTCTTCATCTTTAGTGGGGTTGGTGACCTTGAATCAATCGAAGGCGGTTCATCTCCGTCTTGTATCACATAGCTGTCCTGAGCTTGCCATCCTTGCTGCTTCCTCTTGGGGAAAATGCTTCTGAATATGTCAACCAAACATTCTCCCGCATGGACAGCCAGCTTCCCCATGGATCCCATGATGGTCTCTTCTTGCTTCTCCTCCGGGCCATCATGTGGGAATAGAGGTTGCATTGCTGCCGCCGCTGATGCCATGACTCGTTTCTCGTATGGATTATAAGTAACAGTCGTTTTCTCAACCTTCCAAGACAATATGACATGTGAGAGAGAAAGAGAAGGATAGACTCGATAATAAGATACTCCGTATTTCTTTTTAGTTGTGGATAACAGTCAGATGCATAGAGCTGTAATGTTGAGATCTATTCCCACCACTCCTAAAAGAAGAGTCACATGTGTGACTAAATTACAATTTAAATTTTTTGCCAACTCAATGAAGGAGGCGTATGACGTTTAACAGTTATTAATGGTCATTTGGTCACTTATCCACCCTAAGCTTAATTCCAAAATAGTTGGAGAGGATTACAACAATATCAACAACCAAGCCTTAGTGCCAAAATGGTTTGAGAGGATTAATTAACTAAAATCAGTTGCCGCTTGGCTATATAATAATTTACTTAATAATCGAAGTTCACTACTGAATATTGACTCTTTAGGGGCGTAATAAGTAGTTCTTGAAACACAACTATTTTTATGACATAAGAAGTCAAACGGATCCTCCAATTTTTAGCTTAATTCATGTTCCTATATATAAAAGTCAGTAAGCGTGAGATAAATGTCAGTGTTCACTTTCGGATTGAGTTGAGCCCAATTTAATAACCCCAGCTAGTCATATCTATGCCCCTCTAAATCCCATTGAGGCCCAAGTTTTGCTCTAGATCCCACAAATTATTTTTAGAACGCTGATTTCCCTAAAGGGTTTAACACTCACCTTTTCAGCAGATACCATGCTTCCCACCCTGCGCTGGAGCAATGCTAGCATGTAACCAAAGAAGCCGGCTGCCAAAAGTACTACAATACCTAGTGTAGTCAAGTTCACAAGTATTAATACACCATTCGATTAAATAAATGTTTAGTAAAACACAACAAAGAGCCTATTTTATTCACCTAAAATGACTAGTGGCTGAAAATATGGCTAAATACACGTAATAATAAGCTAAAATGTTTATCAAAATGTATTTTTAAAATATACTTCGAAAAGGGAAATGATACTCATTCTGAACTTTTTTTCATCTTCATATTTTCCTTTTCTGTTTGTGGACCCCAAAATCCTTTGGGGAAGAGGCTTGGATGTTGTTGTATTTTCCTTTCTGTCTGTCCTATATTATCTCTTATTTCCTTTTCTGTTTGTTATATTATCTCTTCTTTCCTTCGAAGGAAAGGTTTTGCAGTTAGTCATATTTCTCTTGTTTGAACAAATATTAACCACACTTTTTTCCCTTTCTTAAAAATCATGACAAGTCAATAGGGAAGAATAAGTAGGAACAGAGGGAGTATCTAAAATTGAAGGTTGAAATGTCACTTCTATAATTTCAGTCATTCTCAATGAAAAGGTAACTTTAGCACTATATTTTTCATAATCAACCCATTCAACCAGCACCTTGAAATCAGTTAGTGTTTAGTTGAAAATCTCACTGAAAAGGCTGATGAACCATAAGAAGTGCATCCCAAACATGATCGAAGAAAAGGTGTGACTTTATTCACCTAAAGGAAAGGTACTTTCATACTGGTAAGCGCAATCATCAAAATGAAGCTGGATCTCCCGGATCGCTTGATTTCCTCTGTCTATGACAAGGAGAGAGCAACTACTTCCAATATAGACCACATCAAAGTCGGTTGAAAACTTTGCATCTTCACTTGGTCCATCAACATGACCCATACCTCCACGGCTCCATTTGCCTCCTGCAATTGTTGTTACTCCTGCACAAGGAAAATTTGTTTGTTTGAAAACTTGCAACTTTCAAAGTCTTTAAGGGTCTGCTTGGTTGGAGGTTTTGTTTGGGGGGCTTATCTTCACTTCAATAAAACAGTGTTTGAACGTTATAATATTTTCAAATAAATGATATAAAATGATAAACTAGTAGTATCAATGTCCAAATCATTTATTTACTACCATATATTATACGGAGTATATAACTCCTTGATATATAAAAACATGCTAAAAGGTTACAAGAGAATAAGAGATAGAGACATTATAAGATCAGATGTTATATCAATCTTTGATTTTTATAAGACCTCATGTGTGTAGAAATGTATACACACACACATTTCATAAATTGTCAAGTACTACTTCCATCCTTAAAGGAAGTACCCGGTTACTATTCTGTGGTCAACTCAAATAGTTTATGATCGTTTAGTTTTTTTTTTTTTGAAATATTTCTGACCTATTATAGTATATGTTCTGTTAAGTCCAACATCCTTGAATTGGGACCTTCTCTTTGGAAGTGTCACAATGACACCATCAAACCACAAGGTACTTGTCATAATCGTTTAGTTTATATATCTAACAGTCCAACTTTTATCAAATTTGAATTTTACTTGTGACTTTATAAAACTTTTAATGTACTTTCTGAATATGTAAACTTTATTTGCTAAAAGTTATCTGGGTATTCACATGGATCGGTTAACTTTATTATAAGACAAACTTTGTATACCGAAATGGGTCTTTTTTACAGGATGGAGGGAGTATATATCAAGATAGAGAATACAGAGTAGGCTATCAAAAGACTTTCCTTCTCAAACCTTCCATTCAAACTTAACTGTATAAGGACCACGTGCTAAAGAGCTTATGAGGAGGAACACACTTCTCCACATATGAAAAACAAATGTATTGAATTACCTGTTTCACTAATCTTCCTAATTGCCATATTATCAGCATCTGCGATGTAAATATTTCCCTTGTCATCAACAGTAAGCCCCTTGGGATGGTTCAGCCTTGCTTCCCTCGTTTTACCATCCACATGTCCGAAGTATCCATCCGCAGAACCAACAATCAACCTTGGTCTGGTGTCTGCAACAACTTTCCCGAGTTGATTTGAAAATACTTGTATATATAAGGATATATATATATTTTACAAGATACACGAGTGGTTAATTTTAAATAATATATATAAATCACAGCAAACCTTGAACAAGGCAGCCGGTATTAACAAGGTTGCAGGCTTGCTAAACTGGAGTAAAACTGAACTATTGTAGAATAATGAAGGAAAAATATATAGTTGGGTTTTGAATCATGGCCATGTAAAAGGAGTGTTGATGTAAGAGAAAGGAAAGGAACAAATTGCTAATGTAGGTGATTTTCTAGAGTTTGAAAAATGTAAGGGTAAACGAAAAATGATTAATTGTTTTTAACTTTACATATATATATATATATATATATATATATATATATAAAGTTAATACTTGTTAGGAAATAGATAGTTAAGTACGGAGTATAAATAAACAAATTGAGCATCAACAGATATCTAAAATGAATTAGTTTTAGCCTAACGTTTTCTTTCCTCTTTCCTCTGTGTTTTACTACTTTCAAAGTTCGTGAGTTTTCTCTCATAGTATTTTCGGGGTTCCAAACGGACCCTTCATATCTTAGCAGAACCAGAAAAATAATTACAAAGTAAGTTGTGTTACAGTAGAGCGACACTAAAAGAGAATATGCTCTGTTGCTGGATGCTTGTACTGTATATGAACTCATCAATCAAGTGATTAAACAAATAATAAGGCCAGGGTGTCCACCCAAAAGAGGACAAACTTTGCAAATACCCCACGAGCTAAAAATCAATCATATGAGTATCAAGTAGCGGTAATGGTTTTAGGCAAATCTATGAGAATCCTAAATGGGATTCTCTGTTGTGTTCCACCGGGCAGGTGATAAGGAGTAATTAGTAGGCGTCATTTTCAAGGTTTCAAAAGGAGGCAGCATTTTTCTTTTAAGTTGACAAAAAAAGATAAGAAATACGAATAGTAATTATTATCAAAAACTATTCAAAAATAATGGAGACTTACGTTGAGAGAGAGCGGAAGAAATCTTGTAAAGATTACTATTAGCAGAATCCAAAATGAGGAGCTCCCCACTGGGCAAGACCTCCACCGTGTGAGGCTCAATCCCAAGCTTGCTTCCGTCAAAAACAGTTTCCACTGTATACCCACTCTCAAACTTCACCATCGGACGGCCAGAAGCCACTGAGCACCCCATAAATAAATCACACGAACCAGACAATACCGAATCAAATTGAAAACCTAAGTATATATAAAGAGGGGAGAAAATCTAACTAAGCCTGGGTAGGTGGATCTAATACCTGTTTTAGTAGTAGCCCTGAAAGACCGAAACCATTTCATCAGCTTAGATACCGCATTTGACAAAAAACCATTCACAACTCCTGCTCCCCAAATAAAGAAAGTGGAAAACAGCTCATCATAAGTAAACACCAGAAGTTAGGAGATGAGCCATTCGAAATTGAAGCAAGATAGATCAAATGGCAGATGCGCCTCAAAGTGAAAAGCCAGACAAAGAAACACACACGTGTTTCTCCATGGATAGACACACTTACTTGAGGGCGAGGGAGAGACTGCAGCAGAAGACAGAGACCCAGATAGGAGCAGGAGCGTGAGAAACAGAAGCAACCCACTTCTAGTCATGGCGGACATTTCTCTCCTTTATTATTTAGACAAAAAAAAAGCAACAAAACGTTTCTCAGTACCAATGAAGATTCAAGATTTGCATCATTGGTGGGGATTGAACTGTGAAATCCCTAGCTCAGAACGAGTTGCTTGCTTACCTATTTACCTCAAGTGGGAACCAGAGAAAAGGGTGTGACAGAACATATAGAGGAGGGAGTGCATTTGTGTGGCCTTGTGGGCCTTTCAGTTTTTTCCTTTGCCTCTTTTTTATTCACTTTTCTTTCTTTTTTCATGAAAAGGGAGAGAGGAGAGGGGGTGGTCTTGGTTTTTTTTTTGGGAGTTGAGACTTTGAGACAGCAAAAGAGGTGGGAAAAGACAGGGAGAATAAAGGAGGTGCAATTTTTTTGAAACGGAATACGAAACTTTATCATGGTAAATAAAGTTACACATGTCCTAAACCATCTAATTCGCAAAAAAAAAAAGACACTCATTGACGAACATAAATTAGTTGAGAGAAAATAAATTAGATTTTAATCATAAACCGATAGATGGTGAGAGAGACTCTAGCTCAAGTGCATGCAAATTGCAGAGACTTTATGCATATTGACATTGTAATCTGTCGTCGCAGTTGTCAGAATTCGAGCCCAAAACTTACCCCTTGTGCACCATTTATTTATTAGTTAAGCTACGTCCTATGGCACCTAATTCACAAACAATTTACTCATCCGTTATTCTGTCGAGTCACACTATAATCGGGATGGGCAATCCAACCTTTGGATTGTAGTGGTAAATTCTTAGGAGCTTAAATTAAATCATCGGAAAACTAAGACGGGAAATATTGTGCATATATAATTTTCCAAATTAAATTATTACTACATACTCCAATCTGGATATGAAAGTATTAATTAATGGCTCGATAGTATTAATTAATTCTATTCATATGTAATCTTTGCACATGAAAGGTGGAAATTGAAAGTAATAACGTGTGTTTCCAATCTTTGCGGGTTCACCAATCATTAATGGCTCTAGAACTAAAACATACATTATATGCAATAATCACTACAACAATAAACAACATTCAAACCTTATTTCCAAAAGATTTTTAGGTCAATTAACATAAATTGATTCATGATATCAACGGCAAAAAGAGAAGAAGTTAAGAAAAAATAAGGTTACGTAAAATGGGTAAATAAAGATAAATATAAGATCAACATGAATTGTTTCATCCACTTTGCTCTCTCTCTCTCTAAAGTCATATTTACATCCAACCCAAGAAGCAGCATATCAGTTCTGACTCCTTTAATTCAAGGTTATTTGGGTCTTCCTCTTCTTCTCCTCCCCGCATCTTGTCCCCACCCCTCAACTCGTCTAACAGGTGCATCACTCGATCTTATGTGCAGATGAACAAACCACCGCAATCGAGATTCTTGTATATTATCTTCTGTCGGTGTTGCTCACTTCTTTTGTCTGATTATCTCATTTCTCAAACGGCCTTTTCTAATACGTACACACATCCAACGCAACATACACACTTTTGTCACACTCATCTTTTGAATGTGACATTATTTCACTGCACAACACTCTACGGCATTGATGTGAGTTTTCTCGCACTAATAAAAATGTAGTAGTAAAGGGTTTTAGTATGAGTATCGTCTCCATAGGGACGGAAAAAGGGAGTCGGGAATTAACTAAATTCAGCAATTAAAACAAATAAAATAAATGTGATGTGCGAGATTGGATTTTTGGAAATTTAACTAATGCAATAAAGCAATTACAATAATGGATTCCTTCTAATTAATGACGATAGGAAACATGAATTGATCTGAGGTAATCAGATTTTGAGGCTAATCATCAGGCTTAATCACATGAAAATTATTTAATTGAGCAATGCTGGTCAATACTAAGTTCTTACCGCTCTTGCGGTGTAGAGTACAATAATTTAGGGAACCAGACAGATCTCTCATGCGACAAGTTTCTAAATTATTGCCAAAACGAACGAGTGTACGGCTCCCTAACTGATACTAATCTCTTAGCGAACGATTAAGTGTGTGTGAAAGTGTCCTAAAACAAACTAGATCTCTCTTAATTTATTCTATGTGCAATTATAATCCTAGCTGCAGTTATAAGTTAGAAGAGATATCAATTAAATCATTCAAACACAAATTAAACAAAGATCATGCAATTAGTCCCTCAAGAATTTAACTCTAGATCATGATTAACCCTTTCATCAATCCCAAATCCCTAATTAAAGCTACTCACAATTCATAATTAAGCAATCAACAGAAACGAATTAATTGACATTAATTAAAAAGTTGGAACTTACAAAGAATCCTAAAATCTTGATAAACCAAGGCTGAAAAGCTCTCACAAATTCGTGCTAGGCTTGTCTCTTTAAGCTCCGTTATGAAAAGTAGACAAAATAGGACTGAATTTAAAGAAAACCGCAAAAGTGGGCGAAACTTGGGTCCGCACGGTCGTGATCACGCCATGCGGCTGACCGTGCAGCCTTCCGTAAAAAATTGCATCAAGCCTTCTCGCTCATCTGCACGGCGTGCAGCTGCCCGCACGGTCCGACCATGCGGATGCTCTTGCAGCTGGTTCTGAACCGTGTGGCGTGCGGACTCACATGCGGGGCATGTGGTTCAGACTTTTGAACTTCATGCTCTCTGAATCACCCGTGGGGAGTGCGGGCAAGATGCGGGGGGGGGGGGGGGGGGGGGGGCACAGACCTCTTCTGGACCGTTTTCTTGCTCTTTTCTTCCTGGTTAGATCCCGCCTTCATTCTTTGACTTCTTTTGGCTCTAAAAATGTTCTTTAATCGCCCTGTGGGTCTCCAATGCCTCCAGTCAACTCTCGAACATGTCTCAAATCTTCCCAAATTATTCTCCAAAGCTGATGTCGGGTTCAAATTCCTGATTTTTGCTTCTGAAAAGAACAAACGCGGACCAAACTAGTTAAACCGTTACTTGAGCTAATTAAACGTTTTGTGACTCATTTAGATTAGGAAAAGTGGCAAAAATCAATCCCAACATGCATTTGATTTAGGAAATCTGAACTTGTCAAATATCCCCACACTTAAGCCTTTGTTTGCCCTCAAGCAAACTGAACTTCGCGACTTACGATAATTAGCACACGATATTAATAACCATCAGCATGCACAGGTAGTTAAAGGGATACTCACAGAAAAGACAGACTAAATCAAGAAAAATCTTTCCTAAACTACCTCTTTGTACCCTGGCTAATATTACTGACCAAATTAATCACAATATCCTCGAAGTTAGAGCAGCGCACACAGTTAATCTTGCTCTTGATCAGAAGGACTTGTGAATGTGATGGTGAATGGTGAAAAAGTCCTTTTTCTTTAAGAGTTTGGAACAACCTGACAGTGACTCAATGTATTCGGGAGTTTCAGGACTATTCTTAGGAACAAAGAATTCACCAAGACACCAAATAGGAACTATAATTTATTTATATGCAAGGAGTAGACATGGTGTACAACTAAGCTAAATTGTCGTTGCACATTGATGTTTTGACGTATACTTGAAATACGCGAAGGACTAATGCTAAAGTTGCAAAAGCATTCAAGTCAAATTTTATCAGTATGTTTCTTCTTGTCATGTTGGCATGAGAACATCATTTCTTTCGAAAGATCCCTAAGTCTCATCTTATTGTGCAAAACACTTACGCTTTTTGACCGGGTCTCTCATTCTCTTTTTTGCAACGTAAGAGGTCTAGCCATATAAATTAACCATTTTTTTCATTTTTCAGATTTTTACTAGACATTACCCATTCTAATCTCGACCTCACCAAGGAAATTTAGCAATTAAGGTTCATTAGACAAGTGAATCCATGCCTACAATGCAATCCTCGAAAATATCAAATTCCTAAAAAGTGACTGCTCTTATCCTATCTAGGGTATAGAAACAGTGTCAACATTGGCTCCTACAAAAATCCCTAAACTTAGCAAATTCATCCCCTAACACTTTAAACACCAAAACACTGTCAAAATTATTCATAGTTAAGAACACATGTCATTTGACAATAGAGCTCATATAATGAGTAATAAAAAACAAAAGTCAACAAAATGGCTTCTCTTAAAGGACTTCAAGTGGGATGGAAAAATGAATTAAATGGGTGCTATTGTCTTCTTCATCTCAAAAACCAGATTAAAGGTGTAAGCAATTTAAGCCAAAAACTTCAAAACCATTTTAATAGCACAGTCAAAAGCCAAAAACTTCAAAAACATTTTAATAGCACAATCAAAACATTAGACAGCTCACAAAGAAATAGTTTAAAGAAAAAATTTAACAAAAAATTGACATGACTTCTCTACCAATATACAATTAACGCATGCGCATGTTAACACTAATAACGTCATGTAAAAACTACTTCCCGAAAGCCCAATTCACTCCCCACACTTAAACTTTGGCATCGTCCTCGATGACCAAAAATGCAATATGAACTAGGGATAAAGAGGAATGGGTCACGCGTGTTCACTAGCTCAAGTCAACCAAACAAAAATAGTAAGAATGAGGTCATGAAAACTTCCCTAGGTATTTGGTTAGTCAAGAACACATCAAAACCAGCAATTTAGACAGCAAATCATCAATTGAGCTAGAGATCAAGTCGCAAAGACAAACACAAAGCAAAACAAAGCACCCAAACAATAATAAAGTGCAAAATAGTGTAATAATAGGGGTACATCATCGACAAATCAACTCATCTACCGAGGAGGGGGAGGGGTGGGTACTGATAATCTGGAAAGTATCTGCTCCAGCTGCTCTCCAAGGAAGATATCCTCATGCCCAATGCAGCGAATCCTGATGTGACGTCCTCACGCATCTGCATGAAGAACTGCTCCTGTCTATGGGGGAGTCCGGTGTATATATCCTTTTGATGCTGATGCATCCCCTCCCAAGTGTTGGGATGAGCGTCTCTAAGTGTTCAGGAGAAATAAACACAAAAGTGATACGGGGACGTTCGTCATCAGATACTTGGCATACTCCCTCCGTCCCTATATAAAAGTATCCATTCATTTTACACACATCTTAAGAAAGTGGGTTTGGTTGGTACTGTTTGGCACTGTTTGGACACTGTTTGGCACTGTTTGGCACTGTTTTGCACTGTTTTGCACTGTTTTGCTTGCCAAAAAAGGAAAGGGGACTTTTATTTAGGGACGGCCCGAAAAGGAAACAGATGCTTTTATTTAGGGATGGAGGGAGTATAATAAAAAACGTATGAATGAAAGCAAGACAAAGGATTGTTTGAAATAACCCAGCACCTAACGTGGGTTAGGACCCACACCAAACGTGTTTGAAATAAACCGAAGTACAGCGTAATGAGTACATGATGAACGTCTACGTGTACTTTTCGTGGAAATGGAGCTATTAAAGTAAACTAAAATGCAAGTGAC